AGTACAGATCTGAGAGTAATCGCAGTACTGACAGCAAGTTTAAAGCCAATAACAACTAATACAAAAATCATGTATCTAAGACTAAAATATCAATCAGTACGCATCCAACATCCAATGGATTTAGTGTAATTAGTTCATTAACAGTCAGAAAAAGACATGACCTTGTGCAATGCCAAATCATAGGTATCAACAGATTGTAGAACCTTGATGTGTATAACAATAATATGTAGTAAAATTTTAAGTTACAGTGACTGATAACAAAATTAATATTTATACCAATAAAAACAATATTCAAAGATCTATTTGCAGTTTTCAATTGGTAACCTTTTAAAATAAGTTTATTTAAAGGATTAATTCAGTTTACCCTGATTTTTATAGTTTGTTCTTATGTTGTTCTGTAACAAAACTCGTCCCAGGTTAACGGGAGGGTTGAGCGCTCACTTGCATGTTTAACCCCGCCACATACTGTATGTGCCTGTCCCAAATTAGGAACCTGTAGTTCAATGGTTGTCGTTTGTTGATGTCTGTCATATTTGTTTTTCGTTTTATTGTGTTATAAATTAGGCCGTTTTTTCTCAACTGAACTGTTTCATATTTTTCATGTCAGAGCCTTTCATAGCCGACTATACCCTATTGTTTTTTTTTCTCATTGTTGAAGGGGGGATAGTTGTCACATTGGCAATCATACCACATCTCCTTATTAAAATGTTGAGGGGGGAAAGGGGGGGGGGGTGAAATTTGTATTTCTTAGGAAAGTTCCAATGTTTTCTTCCCAGGTCACCCAGTTTTAATTGGATATTTTCTCATTTTGCTGTGCCCTTGGATTTGTGTTTAAGGTCAACCAGAGCTTACTGCCTGTTGGTGGGTAGTTGAAGACCATATGGTAAGCTCTAGGTGTCTTTTTGTGTATTGTATATGGTGATTTGGTGATGTCTTCATGCCATTGTCCCATTACTTTATATAGACAGCTTATCAGTCAACCATATCTATCAAAGACGACAAATGATGGCCAAAGCTCTCCTGGCCTTTTGTATAGTCAGGCGAGAAACAAGATATAAACGGACTTGGCTTGGTATAAACATGTATATTTAGTAAATTCGTATAAATTCAAGTCAATTTAATATTTCAAAACAACATAAAAATATAAAAGTGTAAACAAAATATTTTTTTAATAAATCTTGAAAATATTATTGTGTTTGTGTGTGGCCATGGATAAAGGCATGTTTTTCAGTCTGGGTTAAAAAAAAATATTGACTTCGGGTACAAATCCCTGCCCCACCCCAGAGAATCAAATGGTTGCTTCCTTGGGAACAATAGAGATTGAAGATGTTGAGAATGAAGATCAGGTAATAATTTTATGTTCTGCGGCGACGTTAAAGGAACACCAATCAGTCAATTGATCTTTATGACTATGGCTTCAGTTGTGTAATATTCCTTGTTGTAAAAGTTCCTTTTCTGCTTTGTGTAGACTTATTAAGACTTGGAATAGATCTACGATGACTAATGAACGGTCGTGTATGGTTTGGCAATTTTACATGCATACCGATAATTAAATTGACAATGGAAATGGGGAATACGTCAAAGAGACAACAACCCGACCAAAGAGCAGACAACAGCCGATGTCCAGATATGATACGATGCTACCGGACATAGAAAAAACTATCCTTTTTTCATGGAAAATTAAACTGTTACAGTATATTAAAGAATACAAAACTAGCTCTCTTTTCTGTAAATCACATGGGTGGGATTAAAGCTAGAAATCCCAATCTCCCAATTCACTTAAAAAGACCATATATAGATATAAGAAGATGTGGTATGAGTGCCAATGAGACATTTCTCCATCCAAGTCACAATTTCTAAAAGAAAAACCATTGTAGGTCAAAGTACGATCTTCAACACAGAGCCTTGGCTAACACCGAACAGCAAGCTACAAAGGGCCCCAAAATGACCAGTGCAAAACCATTCAAACGGGAAAACTATGCAACGGTATAATCTATATAATAAACAAGAAACGAGAACACTTATGAACCACATCAACAAACGGCAACTACTGAACATCAGGTTCCTGACTTAGTACAGGTGCAAACAAATGCAGCGGGTTTAAACGTTTTAATAGGTACCAAATTCATTCTTATCCGAAACAATAATGTAACATATGACATTTAATATTGAAGGGCTAAACTTGCATTGAGCCGTGTTTAGGCCCTAAAATAGAAAATAAAGAGATGTACATGGGACAAAATCGCACACAATACATAGAAAAAATACAAATTATCAATGAACAGGGCTTTTATTTCTGTTCTTCATCTTGAAAGTAGCTGGAGGGTCTTCAACGAGGAAAAGAACCATTCATACCCTGAAAACAACAGCCACACACTTGGCTATGTGGATTACAATGTTTTGCTTTATCCTACACCCTGGATTTTTTCTCCAGAAGACCTCAGGTACCCAGCTTCCCTTTGCACCTAGTACGGACAAAAGTATTGCCGTAGATTTTGTTTATTAACTTTTCGGTAATGGTGTGGTAGGGTGGGTAGCTGAGGTCTACTTGAGAAAAAATCCAGAGTGATGTTCGGCTTAGTTTTTTTTATAATGTAATACGCAGGCAAATTATGAAAGCTCATGTCTTAATTGATAGGCAAAGAAATAAAAAGAAAACGTATGAAAACCAATAACATTCTACCGGAGACAAAATAGCGTTGGTTTAGGCAACTAGTATGATGGTCTGGATGCGTATTTCTTCATTTCTGTATTCTTTGATATTCTATTCCATTTTCTCTATTCTTTAATCAGTGTTTCAGGCCATTTTTCTCTATTCTTTATCATGTTTCTTTCTTTATACTTTTTGCCAAATATTATATTCTTTTTATATTTTAACACCTCATTATTCTATTTTTTTTATTTTTTGGTCCATTGTCTCTATTATTTATATTTTTTTCCCACTATTCTCTATTCCGTAAACCCCCATCCACACCCAGGCTCTAGTTAAGGTCACCATATAGCTTTCAAAAATAAGCAAAACCAATACCGAGTAGGCTCCGAATGGCAAACTGGTTGAATGCTTATCCCGGTTTGAATTGTGAAATTGCTTAAATTTGTTTTTCAATCAACTGATAAAACAAAACACATTATCGTCCTGAATGTTCGTAAAATGTACCTTGGTTATGAATTCTAATCATCTGAGATCAACCTTTCTAAATTTAAAAGTAAAGATCACGGACCCTTATTTTTCAGATTGATAGTCTTTTGCATCCGTCGACATTATCTTCGATTTAAGATCTGATAACCACAGTGACTGTGCATGTATACTTTAACGACCCGGGTAGTTTTCTTATAAGGTTTTAAAAGTAGTAACCTCCCTTGTTAATGTGATGTTGTAATCAATCTATTTATTTGTACCATCTTTATATTATATTGTATTGTACAATTTCAATTTATGATTCGTTTGATATTTAAATATAATAATTTATTTTTTATTAAAGATATAAACAAGGTAATTTGAAAGGCTTTGATTCATTTATCACCGTAGTTCAATTCATAAGTCAGGCGGTCTATTTTGTCTACATTATGTTGAAAGAACACCGGGGTGTTTACATTGGCATTATTTACTATCAATGACTGTGAAACAAGAAAGGAAAACATTGTACATTATAAAACGAGAAATAATTAAAATTAAATACAAAATTATTGTTTAGTGAAATCAAAAACGAAAAACGGAAACACTTTGGATTTTCATTTTGGTTTTAGAGAAATCAAAAACAAAAAATGAAAACACTTTCGCTTTCCCTTTTGGTTTTAGAGAAATCAAAAATGAAAAATGAAAACACTTTTGTTTTTCGTTTTGGTTTTTGAGAAATCAAAAACGAAAAATGAAAACACTCTCGTTTTTTGTTTTTTGTTTTTGATATTTCAAAATGAAAAACGAATGGCCGCAAATATACACGGACCGAGCTAGCGGACAACATTCTAATGACACTTCATGGATAAAACCAGAGGGTTCCGAATATCTGACAAAAGGTCAAAAACAAGACTAGCGAATATTATTAATGAATCCATCCTGCAGCGGAACTACATGATCACACCGTGATATTTGAGTGACAAATAAGTTGATGCTCAACTCACAAACTGTGTTTAAAGTACAACTACATGTACAACAGCGACAACATAGTCTACATTATACCTAAAACGTTTTCTTTAAATGAAGGTTAATGGATAAGTTTTGTCTTTTATATTGTTTCACATTTTGTTAACCACGGCCTTTTATAACTTACTGTACGGTATAAGTTTTGCACATTGTTGAAAGCTGTATTGTGACCTGATGTTGCTTACATTTTTGTCCTTTTGTCTTTTTGAGGAAAGTTGTCTAATTCGCAATTAATCTTATTTTAATATATATTAATCATAAAAATTATTCAACCAGCATCTTTTTTTTGCATAATTGCTTTCGTTATTGCAAAAGAGTACTGTTGTGAAATCCTTGAATTCATAAGTACTCTATGGATCATCATGTGTTTAGGCGAAACGTGGTTCAACCAAAACCGGCTTAAAACTGGGAAACTGGCTTATATGAATCATTTTATCAATGAAATTTTACAGGGGATATCGTAGTATTTTAAACGAACGTCTGTTCTCGCCTAACAAACTCATCTTTCCATAGGGGTTGCGTTTAGTCGGGTTCAACTACAAATATAACACGATTGGACGTCTAAGTGTAGACATGGGTTTCACCAATGAAATCATATAAAAGAATATATCCTTGTTTTAGAAATATTCTATACTAAATTTCATTATCATGAATTGAAAATATCGATTGAATGTAGGTTAATCAGCAGTGACTTTTGATTCAAAATTAGTATTTAAAACTAATACCAGCACGAATGGATTGGGATCTTGGTAATTATTATCAACGTAAAAATACTCACTACTATACAATACAAATGAACGTACAAAATAATCAAATAAACAATGTCTTACAAATTTTTTCCCTTTAAATTCAAAAGAAGAAGAACAGCAAAAACAACAACAATATCAAGAAGAAGAAGAAGCAGAACGACGACGACAACGACAAGAAGAAGAAGAAGACCAGCGACGACAGCAAGAAGAAGACGAAGAAGAAGAACGACGTCGACAACAAGAAGAAGACGAAGAAGACGAACTACGACGGCAAGAAGAAGAAGAAGAAGAAGAAGAACGACGACGACAACAAGAAGACGACGACGAAGAAGAACGACGACAACAAGAAGAAGACGAAGAAGAAGAACGACGACAACTAGAAGAAGAAGAAGAAGAAGATCGAAGACGACGACAACAAGAAGACGACGACGAAGAAGAAGATCGAAGACGACAACAAGAAGAAGACGAAGAAGAACAAAGACGACAACAAGAAAAAGACGAAGAAGAACAACGACGACAAGAAGAAGAAGAACAAGAAGAAGAAGACCAACGACGACAACAACAACAAGACGACGAAGAAGAAGCAGAACGACAACGACAAGAAGAAGAAGAAGAAGACCAACGACGACAAGAAGAAGAACAAGAAGAAGAACGACAACGACAACAAGAAGAAGAACGACAACGACAAGAAGAAGAAGACTACTACTTGTACTATGATGATGATGAGTAAGATTTTAACTGTCACTGATAACAGTCATGATATTTAAGACAAACGTATGAGAAGTGTCTGTTAGCTTTGTAAAATGTCAGTCCTTTATATAATATTATACACTAACAAACTTTATTTCAACTGAAACATCTCACGAGTATAACAATAAATATATAAAAATGTGCATCATAGAAAAGCCATATGTATTACCATCACACGATGTATTTCCTTTGTAGTCCTTTAAAAAATGTCCACTGAAACCACTAGGTCAATCAGAACTAAATTTGGCCTGTAACTTTTTTTTTTTTTTTTTTTTAGGGGGGGGGGGGTACTTTTATACTTGACCCCTATTGCTAATAGTACAACATAAGAGCAATATTAAGAAATACCTCAATCAAATATTACTAGTAAAAAATAAATCTTATCAGAAATAAAAAGCTATAAACTATTGCGCAAAATTTATTATTTGTAATTAATAATTATACTATTATGATGTTATCACCCAACAGATACTCAATCTTGCTATCTAGCGTTTATTTGAATAGAAATGTGGACAAAAATGTAAAGAAAAGGATGTAAAAAAATATGAAGTATCAATATACTTTGATTAAATAATGCATTCGTAGTCCTCTTTAAGAACGTCATTTAATGAACTAATCAACATTCAAACCTAACATTCTAACTTAACCGCCATCATTTCTAACAATGGGAAATATGACAACAAATTCATTATTTTTCTTAAACATTGTTTCCTTGTAAATCAACTATGCCAATTGGCTCAAAACATGCTCTGTATCTTCCCAAGGGGTCTATTGAATTAGTTTATTTGTTGCAATATAACATTCATCATAACCTAATCTAAACATTTCTTTTGTTTGTTTTATCACAGTTAGCGTAGCTGTACATGTAGTAAAAAGTAATGATCGATATTTATAATATATATTCGAAATGATTCATTCCAAAAATAAAGTAAAAAGCAGTGTTCTTCTCAAAGTTATAAATAAATCAGCATTGGTTACTTATCGCAGGAAAGAGATGCTTAAATACCGTCTAGATTCGATTTTAACCGATGATGTAACATTCATTAAGGATGTTGCATTCGATCCTAATGCTCTAACAATTAATGACATTTATTGGATGGTAATGAATACAAAATTTATATATATAAAGTCATGCAAGCTTATACTATTGCTAAAAAATACACAGAGAAATCCATTTTAAAGATCTGGTAACAGAAGGTGGATAGCCATGTTAAATTTCCATATAAAACAGGTGATTTAGTACAATAACGTTCGAAGAAGTTTGGAGATGAAATCCATCTTACTTTGGTTTGCCTTGGAAGTAATATTGAAAGGAAGAACAACAACGCCAGTTCAAAGGTTTCATCTGCGTTACCGCCTATCTTTCGATTACTCGTTAATCATTTTACGATATGGAATGGTAGTTGATTCTCCGCATGTGATCGATCAAATCACTGACACTTTTCGGTCGTTTTCGTGTTCACGGAAAATTACGAACAGACAAGTTGTTGTCGTATATACGTGCGAGGTAACCCGAATAGTCCACTCGTTACATTCCGCTGATGTACGCTGTCGAATAGAGTAATTCGTTCAATGTTGATTTTAGTCTAATTTTCCTATTTCTGTTTATTTCGATCTTAAAAACTTGAGAACATGGGTGGATCGTTTTCAATTTTAATATTTACAGACAGTTAAGACGCCATTTCTTAAAAATTTAAGAATATGATTGTACAACAAATATGTTTGGACCCCCTTTTATTAAATATGAATAATCCAAGTCACGCGTGTATACCAGTCAATTAAAATATTCACAAACGTTTCGATTCTTTAAACTAATTCGTATAAATGAATATGCGGTTAGGCAGATAGGGTCAAGCTCATTTTGTCTGTTTGTTTTTATTTTTGCTGTAGCGTGTTATATTAACTGGATTAAAACATTTTTTAAAATAGATATTTACGAACTTATCCCGATTTTAGTTGTCCAGTTTCAATAATGTAATCAATGACATTTATTACATATACATAAATTTAAAATACTTGAAAGTAAATATCCTTTTTTAAATCTCGATAAACTTTGCACATTTCAACAGTAAAAAAATCTATGTCTTCATTTGTCTTCATTTTTTTGTTAAACATCATGTGAAACCTGATCGCTTCGTCGGTATTACCTGTTTTACTCGGGATCCGCTTTCAATCGGAAAATACTTTTAGATCAGTTTAAAACGAACGGTAAAAAGCAAAAATATGCAAAAATAAATACAATTTTCCATGTTTAACTGCTGTAGTGTAAACAATTCTCGTCCGTTTTTCAAGTTTTTTTTACATCATTCAATTTCTTTTTGAAGGTAGAAGTTATATATGCTGAAATATTAGGCATTTTAGTAAGGAGTAGTGATGAGATAAAGGGTATTACGATAGATGATTCAGAGTATATCTTGTCTCAATATGCACACGACACATCACTTATTTTAGATGGGTCGCCTTCCTCAGTGGATGCATCTCTCCGTATATTAACAAATCTATGCTGAGATATCAGGACTGAAAATTAATTTAGACAAAACAAACGTTACATGGATAGGTAGTAAAAGACATAGTCAAGACAAAATATGTGTGAAGTGGGGACTGAAATGGGGTTTCAGTACATTCAAATTATTAGGTATCACTTTCTGTGTTGATTTAGATAGAATGTTAAATCTAAACTATGCTCCTTGAATACAAAAAATAGAACAAATATTACAAAAATGTTCAAAACAGTCACTTACCCCGTTTGGTAAAATAACAATTATAAAGTCACTAATTATATCAAAATTAAATCATCTGTTCCTGTCAATCCCAGGTCCAGATGATAATATGATACGTCAACTTAATAGTAAAATTTATTCATTCATTTGGGATGATAAGCCTGACAAGATAAAGCGGGATCTTCTATGCCAAGAATACTTCAGAGGGGGCCTAAAAATTATTAATTTGAGACATTTTATACAAGGGTTAAAACTTACTTGGGTAAGAAGATTATTTCAGTCAAAATCCAAATGGATCCAATTATTTACCTCCACCCAAAATATAAATTTTACAGAGTTGGCTTATTTTGGAATTATTAAAAAATCAAAAACAAATTCTGGGATGAAGTTTTTCATGCCTGGAAAAGTCCGAAAAGGGCTCAAAGGATATGTATACTATTTTAAATCAAGGAACATTACCTATAGATTTCGTAGCAGAAAAAAAATGCTAATTAGTCGTTGTTATTCCTTTTAAATATTACTTCCATGCCATTGGGTTTGCACAACAAAAATTATAAAGCAGGAACATAAAAGAATAATAGAACTTCTTACGATAATAATAATAATTTGGAATTATTCACAAACATGACTCTGTCAACCGAAGACATTAATCAATTCACATACAGCCAGGAAACAGCTACTGGTCAAGGAGTTTAACTTGTGACTTTTAGGAAAGAACAAGTCTGAGTAAGTCTTCAAAACGTGCAGCATCGTTCAATCTCATGGCATGCTCACCCAAACAGCTGACAAATTGTACTGCTAAAAATGCGCAAAGTTTGTTAGTGGCCAAAACGATGGTTAAACTAAATGCTGAAATAGTATACGTTTCTAAACAAAGGGTATGGGTGACAATATCTAATCAATGCTCGGAATCATCTTAGAAAGATTATATGATGCTTTTATTGATTGTAGTCAGAACAGAAGACAATGAAACTTTCTATTATATATTCGAAGACTGTTCAGAAAGGAAAATTTACTTATATCATAGCAAAGGGCATTACAAAAATAGAATGATCATTTCTACATGTTCTATAAACTACTTGAGAAAATATATTGCAAACATATTTTTCTCATAAAAACGATTTTTAGATTAGTTGTATGAAAACGTTATTCTTTTCTGATTTTTAACAGAATAAAAATACTGAAAATACTGTGATTAACGAAACCCATTCTCTTACTCTATTTCCAGTTCATGATATTTAATATCGCACTTAAACCGACGTTGTAACTTCCTCAGGCAGAAGTCCCCTTCAGATTTTGCTCTTTTTGTTTACTGTTTTCATTCGTTTAACATCACTTTCTTAATTTGAACGCTCGTACCCGATGATGGTTTTTCAAAAAACGCGTCTTGCCCTCGTAAATTGATATTATAAGTTTAGAGTTAATTTCATGTTTTAGTATCTTATTAATTTATTTCAAATTATTTGTTTTATTGACTTTTAAATATCTTATAATTTATTATCAACGTTTATATAGTTTCCCTTCTTATTTTACCAATTATATTACTTCATTAAGATATGAGGTTAGTGTCTTCCTTTATTACATGGATTATGCAAAAAAATAAAATTGTCTATTAATCATAATGTACAAGGTCTATGAAAGAAGTAGAATAACAAAAATACCGAACTCCAAGGAAAATTCAAATTGGAAAGTCCCTTAACAAATGGCAAAATCAAAAGCTCAAACACATTAAACGAATGGAAAACAACCGTCATATTCCTGACTTGGTACAGGCATTACCTAATGTAGAAAATGGTGGATTATACCTGGTTTTAAAGCTAGCTAAACCTCTCACTTGTATGACAGTCGCGAAAAAAATAATTATATTGACAACAATGTGTAAGCAAAACAAAAAGACATAATAGGTAATAATGTCAGAAATTAGGGTACATCAGTCAGCATTGTGTTATTATCTTAATCACTTAAACAATAACTATATGTCAACAAAGAAAAACTAAATGGCATGTAGACACTCATATAGACAAAGCACATAAGCAAAAATGAAAGACAAGAATACAAAACAAATGACCATAGCACATTAACACAATGGCGGGATGTATATATACCGAGCCACGCCAGAATGATTTTACCAAAAAAAGGACTAAACAGTAAAGGTTAAAATAATACAAGGACAAATAAAGAGAACACTATAATACGTTATTAAGATGATAAACATCATCAGTACCTTAAATCTATACTTCAAGACCATCATGTATTTTTGTGAAGTTGATACTGAATATTTATCAACAAGGTCTTGGTATCTTCCGATGAACTTTTTTAGAAAAATTATGAGACGTTCCTTGACATACCTCTGGTTCATCAACTTTCGGCTCAGACACTGGAGACGTTTTATAGTCTGAGAAGCAGCTGCAAGCTCTTGAGTAACGAATGAGTTGGGAAATGTACATCCCATATGCAGGTGAAGTTGGTATTATGCTGCTAGCGTGGGGAGACCAGATTATTAACTTACTGATTAAAAATCGTAATAAGCGCAACAAAATGTGTGTCTGTATCAAGTCAGGCGATTTGAACCGTGTGTTTGTTTGTTGTTGTTGTTTGTCTTTGTTTAAACGTCTTGTGGTTTTTTTCCGGAGGAGTCGGGTATTGTTGTGGTATGTTCGTACTGTTTAATATTTTTTTCATAACTCATGTTATACTTTTAATGCATTATTAATAAAAGAAGAATGTGTCGGATGACACGAATGCCCCCTCTCAACCTTGCTTATAATATGTGAAAATAAGACTGGAATGAACGGAAGGACCATCGAAAAGACAGACGGACAGAAAGACGGACGGACGGAAGGACGGACGGTCAAGGGTTACACTTAAAGCTCCCGTTGCTAATCGGCGGGGTATAATTATCGTGCTAGTATCTTTTTACATTAGAGAACTACGTATAAGTAATTAGACACATCATTAACACAAAAAAAGGAAGGACGGAGTGATTACCATATATGTAGTACTAGTATCATTTAGAATAGAACTTCTATCTAACAATGAACTCAGTTTCAGAGTTTCATCAAATGTGACGATAAAGTAAATATTAATGAAAAGATATTTTCTATTCTGAATAATCTATATATAATGGTTGTTCTTGACTACAAGAGGCAGGCGAATTCAAAAATAAATTCAGAGATGACAGGCTTATAGTGTAATACGCCAAAACAAATTTTACGAACAATTTTTGTCTGCAGAATGTAGATTAACTGCAATTTGAGAATGATTGTACATGACGGCGACGATAAGTCATAATTGACAACATAACAAAAAATAAAGTTGACAAAATTGCTTACATCTACTTCATTTGAACTTGGTTGCATAGTTGTCTCATTGGCAATCATACCACATCACCTTATTTAAAAAAAGATAAAACAAAAGATAACAAATAAAAAAGATAGACGGATTGTTGAATCATAAATCATACAACAGTTATATATGGTCTACTGCGACTAATGATGTCAACAATTGCAATGAAAGTAAACATGCAAAAGCTAAGTACATTAGTTTTTCCGTGTGATTTAGTTTAATGATTATCAGAATATAGACAATGTATTCCCAGGCTGCTCAGATAATGTTGCAACTGTAACATATTATAAAACAAATATTGGACTAAAATAATATACATGCACGCGTTAAATGATACTATTTAACAAGGAATAACCAGTTTTTAATTTACTTGATTGTACTAAAACTAGACCTCAGAAAGTGTTCATAATTGATTTGGCCTTCCAATTGTTTTGATTCAATCCCCACTGATAAGAGTTATCTAGACCAAACGCGCGTGTGGCGTGTGAAATTATAATTATACCTGGCATTTTTAGTATGTTTTTCTAAACCGTAGACAGTTTTGTTTGTTTTTCTCAGGTACATTTGGTTATTGAAGCTCTCATACGTTGTTGTCTTCACAAATGGCCGAGCGTACACGATAAAGATTTCAGTTTCAAAAGTCTCCTTCAACCCAAGTGTTCGCAAAATTTAAGGGTTAGTACGCTAAACATAAGCCCAGATTAAATAACTTGATCTAAAACATCTCTAGTCTTGATAAGTTATATACAAATGTAACAAAGAATCACACAATTTGACAGTAACACTAAAATAAACTTGTACAACAAAGATAAAATTTATAAATGTCAGTATAACAAAAGACCAAACATAGTGCGTGCTTCAACCTTCAAAATACTACAATATCATACACAACATGACTTACAGCAAGCCTAGTATGTCAGAGAAGAAAAAAGAAAAAAATTCAAAATAGCTAAATGAAATAAATTGTGTGTTCCATCAATATTTAAAACCAAATTGACTGCTTATATCTTTAAACCATAGCAACTTTGCACAATAATCATACAGCTCAGAACTCTCGGTTTGAAATTTTCAAAATTATATGCATATATCATTTAAATACTTGATTGTTTCAATTTTTTCAGTATTAAACATACATAGTGCAAAACTGAAAAGGTTAAGCCTTTGATTTAATTTGGCCTTCCAGCTGTTTGTTGATCCAACGCCACAGATAAATCGTCGTCTGGCGTGACAAATATAAGCCTGGAACTTTTATAAGCTTATTTATGTATGCCAATATGAAAACAGAGATATGTAGTTATTCAAAAATGCCTGGAAAACCTTATTACTAACGAGATAAAACATCCTATTTTTAACGGTGCTATATAGAGCCCGGAATCTTAGATACGATACATGTAAACTTATTGATCCTTGGCTTTTAAATGTTTGGGTTTGATCGTCCCTGATGAAGGTAAATCCAGGAGATTGCTTCGGATACACAAAAAAATTAATAAAGTGTTATTTTCATTTAATAATTCAATTAACAAAGGGTCTTCAATTTAACATTAAAGTAAGATCTTTATCGGTACTAAGATTGCTTTTTTTTTTTGGTAAATTAAAGCATAACTCTACTTATACAGTTAATAACACTTCTAGTCCTACAACTTGTTGATACTTATATTTTGTAATTGCACAAGGTCGTGTTTATCTCAGATTGTTTGTGACATCCTTACACTAAATCTGTCTGATTGTTTACTGATTGATATTTTAGTCTTTGAAATCATAATTTATATTTTTAGTTGACATTATTTTTGAACTATCTGTCAGTTACTGTTTAGCTGTTTATTTTACTTGCTGATCTGATGAACCAAGCCCTTTCCAACTGATGTTCACAGTTGCTGATTGTCGTTGGTTTCTGTTTGTCATAATTGTTTTTTTGTTTATTGTTTTTGACATAAAATGGCCGTTGGTTTTCTCTTTTGAATTGTTTCATCTTTTGTCATGTATGGAACTTTCATAGCTTACTATATGGTATGGGATATGCTAATTGTTGAAGATCCTACGGTGACCTATACTAGTTGTTTTTCTGGAAAGTACTATATCAGAACTAAAATCGCTGTTATTATTGTAACCAAAAGTGACATTTTTCTTTTGTGCGGCTTTATCTTGTTCAGTTTTCACAAATGCATATTAACAAAATATGTTGTGTTGTTAGTTAACTTTCTTAAACTTGGTATGTTGATATGTCCATTGAGAGTAAAGCTAGAGAGACGAATTTTTGCTAAGTTCAACAAATTCATTCCTTATATACCAATCACAAAGTAGTTTGAAATTCAGTTTGGATGTTTGATTTTTTGATATATTTTGAATGCCACGAATGTAGTTTTCATCAAAAGGGAACCAACGATCGGATATTGACCGCGAAATACCGCCAAACGTAGACAATTGCAACATTTTACCGGTTGTACAGTATACAAAGTGTATTCTCTGCTAAGATTTATGTGAGCAGAGAGGTTATAGATTGACACGTCACATTCCTTTTTGACACTTCTACGAAACATACCTACTTGTAGGATTATGTAAAGTTAAGAAGTGTCGAGCTGATTAACTAGCGTAAGTGGCTAATATTAGGGAGCTACCATTTGTCCCCCCCCCCCTAAAAATCAAATGGTAGCTCCCTTAAGTACGAATTAATACGTGAGCTGCTGATTTAACTAGCCAAAATCAACAAAAATGCCATACCCATGCCAGTTTTTTTTTAGTTAGAATACAATACCTGAAAATTCAAGCACAGTAAACTTTCAAATTATTAAAACAACATCCTAGTTACATGTTTATGACAGTTAACCTATACTGGAGCAAAAACACCAAACTTTGCCGGAGCACTGCGTTCATAAGATTTTTAAGGGGTTCGTCTTTCTTAATCCTTAGTTTTCAGAGTAGAGTGGATGTTATTTGTCTTTCGGTTCTACTTATTTTTGTCATGGCGTAGTCTGACTTTCTTTAACTTATTGTTTTAATTACCCCTTTGATATATCATCTTATGGTTTAACATATATGTCTTTCACCTGAGAAATAACTATTTTGTCTGCAACATAATATCTAACCAAACTCGGTTACAAAACTGGATATAACTCTATATTACAGTAATACTTCTTTATCTATTGGAAAGAACTTTGATTCTTCTGGCAGTACTGGTTATTCGTCCTTTATCTGTTTGGCTCTAACCAAGGTAACTCAGATACTTGTACGTCGCAAGAGAGAGAACCAGCCTACAGTACTGGTCTATTTATGAAAATTGAAGAAATTGTAATTTAGGCGTCAAATGTCTCTCTTTGAAAACGACTAACGAGGGAAGGCCTTAACATAAAAAACATTGTGTCGACTTGGAGGACTCAGTCAACATAGCTACCTCTAACATTTAGTTTGAGTTAGTAAGAAAAACAAAATAAAATAATCGGATTTTTTTTAATTTATATCCAGTCTTGGGTTCTGTATTGTCCTGCGTGACTTCACAGTCTAAAATAAAAGTATAAAAGTAGTGTGTGATATACATGATAAATTATTTCATATTTTTTTTTTTCCTCAACAATATGATTTTATTGAACACAAACATATCCTGTTGTTTAAACTTTGCATAAAAGTGCCATACTTTGATAGGTTTATACGAGGGAGACAATTTTCTATATCCCATAGTTCAATGAGAGAACATTTTTTTTTAATGTCACCCTCTTATGCAGACCAATCAAACATCGATAATTTAAAAAACAATGAATTTAATTTACATCCATAATTCTAAAGACAAAGAATGCTAAGGTTTTACGTTTTTTTTTCATAGATTTTCACATTACAAAATACATTTTGATTCACTTTTGTTTCTTTTCTAAAGACTGTAACGATGATATGCACATTAAATCCTAGTTCATTATTTGCAATTTAAAATTTTAAAAGTTTTAAATAATGACAAACCTTTCAATATAATATAGTGAATAACATAAAGCTGGGAGGGTGATAGAGCAGATTACCTTCTCACATATGTGTCATTTATATGGTGGTCCTTAATGCTTTCTCTTACGTATTTGAAAATCTTCAGTAAAACATCTGTAATCTACCTAGGGTAAGGGACATAACTCGTATAAATCAGTGTTGCGCTTTAGTCAACCATTTTCATAATTATATTCTAAACTTCTAAGAAACACAGATTGTTTAAATTCTGTATCACATACTTAACGCATACACCTTATCGCTATTTGTCCGCCATTACTGGATATCACACAGGTTCCCATAAAATTTTGACGTCATAAAACAAAATATCTGACGCCACAATGGAAAAGTGATTGTTGTTGACGTCAAAAGTTCAAGCGGCCGGGTCAGCCGGAAATAGCGATAAGGTGTATTGGTGAAATAGTCTGATACAAACGCATTACTAATTTAAAGAATTGTCTCCCTTGATTAACCCAGGTCTACCCACTTAAATGTCTACACACCTATCCCTTTTAATGTACTACTTTGACAATCGATATTTATTTGGCGCCTGGTTTTTTAAATTGTTTTAACTATAAGTCACCAGCGCGCATAGATAGCGAAAGGACTTGCACTGATCTTATCATTGTATAGTTATTTCATAAATATGGTTAAGGTCATAGGGTCAACACAAATTCACAAACTCGAAAAGAGTATTCTTACTATGATTTGAAATGAAACAGAATATGGAAATTATGGAGAGTGTCGCCTTCTTTCACCACACATTTTCCTTGTAAAAATTTGTATGCGGCAAAGTTCCATACTTACTGTTATAAGACAGCTGTTTAGTTGTTTCTGTTCAGCAATGCAAGGGCAACAAACAAACCTCCAACTAAAATTAGAAAATGAAAGCAATTGAAAGTATGTTAACTTTATTGTTTGTATATTTTTTCTTGTAAGTTAAATATTATGTGTATTTGTTTCTTTAATACCTTATCTAAAATGTCAACCTCGTTTGTACTCGGCTTCCGTCTGTTTCATTGGTCACTTCCTGCTTTGTCAGCAACATAGCTAAGCTCGGATCGGCAGTTAATAAGGTAATATAACACAAGTTTGAAAAGTTTCTTTATTCTAATAGGAAAAGTACATTCTGTACTAGAACTCACAATATCACAGCTGTATGCGAGTACTGTGAGGTTCTTTATTATATTTTGTCGTATTTATGAACATGCAACCAAATCATAAAATCTTTGCACCCGCCTTTATTATCCTGCCAAACGCTTAAAATATGTTTCTCTACCTTAACGTTTAAGGTAATTGCATAATGACTATAAGCCTATAAGCAAAAGCAAAAAAGTTGTAGAAAAAAGTCTCTTTTTTCTTGCCAGCAAAAAAGTTATTAAATCTTTGTTTGTGCATGACTATATTGATGAATAATTAAATACTTGCAGTAGTGGTAAAGGTTTATTTTCGTGCAACGTGTTTGCAATTTTTATTTTACGCGTTTGTGTGCTTGAAGCTATTATCCATCGTGTTTCGTGCGAATAGGTACAAACGTAACGTGTAAGCTTTTTTGTTTTTTTAGTTAAACAAGAAATGGCCATTTCATTACCCGTTCTTCTATGACACAAACACCCCCTTTTTGCGACACTCTTTAACATTACTTACTGGCTGCAATAGAGGCACCTTCTCCTCCAAAGATACCAGTGGAACCAGCTGGATTATACGGAGCAGCGAAAGCATATCCATATGAAGGAACACCATATGGAATCGGTTGTGGCATGTAAATAGTAGTTTCATCAATGTAACCTCCTTTTTTGCCATATCCGGAATATCCCTTGTTGCCGTAACCCGAGTAACCACTGATTCCACCGTAACCCTTCTTGCCATATCCGGAGTAACCACCATAGCTACTGTGACCTCCGCCATATCCTGTTTTGCCGTATCCTCCAATTCCACCATAACTTCCGCCATATGTTCCGGGATGGCCATAACTTCCGGCACCGCCATGATAGTTATCAGCGAGAATACCAGTAATGCCACAAAGACATATTGTAATGGCAAGTGTGCTGATTGCAAGTTTCATGCTACAACATAACATTGAAACCTAATTCACAAGGAGTAAAAATCGCTTAAAAACTAGAATTTCACACTTCAAGTTTTAAAATAGATTGAAAAATATTAATTTTTATCTATCTCAATGACATTTAATTGACGTGGTTGATGTCACTAGATCTATAGATTTAATTGTTCTATTGCATGCATGCGGAAACTAACTTCTTTCAAGTTTGGCTCTTTTAGATTTGACATTTATTCACTTGTTATTTCATATTTTCAATATCAAGCTAAATTTCTAAATCAATAACATAAAACTCCGCATTTATATTCCCATTTTTAACGTTTTCCCGCAGAAATTTTCGTTTTTTTTTTTAATTTTTATTTATGCTTGATGGCACATTGATAGTAAAAACATCAAAAATCAATACAAATATCAAAACTAACAAAATAAGTAAAAAATATCAAACAAACATAGAAATTAATGTCCCGAGGTCATATGTTATATGACTAGATAAATCCCTCAAACAAGTCAAGTCCAAAATGACTTTAAATTAAACGAAGTCCAATGAAATCAGGATTTCATAGCAATTTAACGTAAGTTAAATAATAACTTTTTATCTGTATAATTTATCATTTTGATTTAATAATTGAATTTGTATTTATGTAAACAATAAATGTTTTTCAAATTGTTCGAAAAACAAATTTAATTAAATGTTATGTTCATATAAATGTGAATTATTTTGTAAATATTTGTCTCATAAGCCGACTCCATTGCTGGGTACTGATTGTTTTTATGTATATTTTTATTATGTTATTGTATGATGTACAATCAATATGTGACACATTATTAAAATAAAAATGTATTATTTAAAACACAATTAATCAGAGTAGCCCATTAAAGTTTTGATTAATAACTCATTAAAGTTTAAAAATATAGATGTATTTTCTTTCCCATAGTAGGAAAGGTTGCAACCATACCACATTCCTTATTTTTTGTATTGCATAAATATTAACATTTCTACATAATTTGTACTAAGATCTCGGAAACTTTTCGTTATCCTGCGTTCAAAATTATTGACAAAGTGTATCTATAAAATTAAAAATGGTCAAATCTTAAACGATTTGCCTACCTGATACGATCTCTGTTTTATTCAAGAAATGATTTTCTGACACGAGCGACACCTTTTTCTATAAAAATGACTTCCTATTTTGTGGGATTATGTATAATTATATTAACTTATATTACAGACTTAAAAACATGTCTTTTTGGTCAACTCCTCTTATTAGTTATTGCAGATAATTATCATGTTGTACTTTGATAAAATAACAGCATTATCATCATTGATATTTTGTCAATAATTAATTATTTTGAAATATCTAAAATAACACTTTTGTTCATCAAAGACATTGAATCATTTTTTTCTTTAAATTGTAAAATATCCAAACAAGTATTTTTTATATAGATTAGACAGTTGGTTTTCCTGTTTGAATGGTTTTACACTAGTCATTTTTGGGGCCCTTTATAGCTTGCTGTCCGGTGTGAGCCAAGGCTTCGTGTTGAAGGCCGTACTTTGACCATAATGGTTTACTTTTACATATTGTGACTTGGATGGAGAGTTGTTTCCTTGGCACTCATACCAATTATGGTATTCAGGTAACTTTAATTTACTCAATTTTCTCTGTAATATTCTGCTGTTCATTATAATGCCGTGATATGTGCTAAACACTCCAGCATTTTACTTTGCAATAAGTGCTAAGAGTGATGTTTAATACACGCAGCCTCCTCCATTTATAACAGCTTCTTTCCTTGAAACTTAATTAAAGCCATATGAAACGAATTTCTTTTAATTTTAATGTTATCGAAATTATTGAACCAAACCATGCATATATACTAAACTAAGTCCTGTATGCACGTTTTTTTTTTTATAGTTGTAACGAATCTATTATGTTTTATCGACAAATAATATTTCATTTAATGATCGTTGATCGCAAGCTAATTTACTTTCGAGTTTGTTGCCGAATTTTACTGGATCGTGACATTGACAAACAATCAACACAGAGCACGTGGAGCAGTTAGTGTACGGGAAAACAGTAATTCAATAGCAGTACATTTGTGAAGATTTTGATATAATAAAGGATTTTCTTTTACAAGAAAGTTCACGTACACATGTTTTATAGTAAAACTTAGCCATTCATGTATTCGTTCAGTGTATTATCACTGAACTAGTATACATATTTGTTTAGGGGCCAGCTGAAGGACGCCCTGGGTGCGGGAGTTTCTCGCTGCATTGAAGATCCATTGATGGCCTTCGGCTGTTGTCTGCTCTATGGTCGGGTTGTTGTCTCTTTGACACATTCCCCATTTCTATTCTCAATTTTATCACTTGTGTTAATATGTCTTTTGATTGAGTTAAGCCATTTCAATTGATATTTTATAGTGTCTCTTTCTATGTTGTGATGTTACACTATTGTTTTAGGTAAGGGTGAAGGTAGGTACCTATTAAAACGTTTAAACCCGCTGCATTTGTTTGCACCTGTCCTAAGTCAGGAACCTGATGTTCAGTGGCTGTCGTTTGTTGATGTGGTTCATAAGTGTTTCTCGTTTCTCGTTTTTTATATAGATTAGACAGTTGGTTTTCCCGTTTGAATGGTTTTACACTAGTCATCTGTGGGGCCCTTTATAGCTTGCTGTTCGGTGTGAGCCAAGGCTCCGTGTTGAAGACCGTACTTTGACCTATAATGGTTTACTTTTACAAATTGTGACTTGGATGGAGAGTTGTCTCATTGGCACTCATACCACATCTTCTTATATCTATATAAAACATTTTCAACTTTTTTTTTTAATTTGAAGATTTATATGACTTTAAGAAATAAAAAAAACACAAAGGTTTTTGTCATTTCGCAAAGGTTTGCGTTCATTCGTTAAGGTTTGCGTTATTTCGCAAAGGTTAACATTATAACGAATAGGTTGCGAAATAATTGCCTGTTCTCAATACAGCAATGAAACCATAATTGATGAAACTGCAGAAATGGTGCCATGGTAGCTCTAGTGGTATATTCTTAAAATTAACGTATATTCACCTCTTTTTACGTTTATATATATGTTAATTTAAGTATTGATGAAACAAATTAATTAAGGAATTGCCTATTTAATCTTTCGTTTTATCTTATAATGCATTTTTTTTATGAAAGTATAATTATATTGTTGTTGTGCAATAAATGCGTTTTGTATATTTTGGTATGATTAATAAATCACAAATTAATTGTTTGAACAAGACTAAAATTTTCCCTTTTTTTCTGCATTGTGCTGATTATGACTGTCTTCGTGTGATGTGCATGACGTTTATCTTCCCTGTAGTTCAGTGAACCGATATTAGAGCGAATAACGATATAATTTCACATCAGCAGATTAGATACTTTGATACGTAATTGTTTCAGTGGTTGTCTTTGGTTGCTGTCTGCAATATATTTATTTCCGTTTAATATTTTAGCAAAAATCAGGCCATTGGTTTTCTATTCTAAATCGTTTCATATTTTGTCATTCTTATTTTTTATAGATTACTATACGGTATGGGATTTTCTCATTGTGAAATGCCGTACGGTGACCATAGTTGCTTACAACCACGTCCGTTGGTCTCTTGTGAATAGTTGTTAAATTGTCAATCCTACCACATTTCCATATGTTTTAAGTGATTATATTGTAATGGATAAAAACTTCTTCTATGTTTTTGGTTCGAGTGTTCCTGATGATGGTAATCAACGAAAAACAATTCAGACGCACCAAATTATCGACTTTTTTAGATTAGAAACAATTTAGAGCTTGACATGTCATATTTGTAGTCGAAGACTGTTGTTTTGTGTCTTCTTTTAGTTTGCTGTCTTGGTGCCATATACATCATATCTCCTTTAATAAAGCACATATAAATTGAAATTAGAAATACAGTATATGTGATTTAGTGGTTGTTGTTTCTTGCTGTCTGTCATAACTTTTTAATCGATCATTATTTATTCATAAATCAGGCATTCCACCGTTCTGATGCCTTTAAGAAAGCCTTCTATACGATGGATACGGAATTTGTTCATTGTTAAAAGACCGTACGGTGAAATCAAATTCCTTACATTCGCATCTGTTGGCCTCTTATGAAGTTATTTCATTATTAATCACACAATATTCCCTTTTGTTTGTCTATACTATTAAACGAGAAGACCTCATTTTGTGTGTCGCTTCTCTTCCTTCCACAATAAATTAATCATCATGCCTCTGTGTCCTATAGGTACCATGCATAGTCGCATTTGTCATCCTCGCTTATGATTATTCGGTTTGGGTTATTTTGGGAGGAAAACGAAAATAAAGGCGTCCGGATATTGTTTCCGTCACCGGACGGACTTTTAAGTCATAGAAAAGACCGTTTAGGACTGTTTTAAAATTACACATACGTACTTGGGGACAGGACAATTATTTTCGCGTTTTTCTGTATACTATGATCATACATATACTATAAATAAAGTGTATTTGCTATTTACTATCAATTCCAAGTTTACTATCCACGGCGGTTACTGATATATATTATATAGAGTCTCTATATAATATATCAGTGACCGCCGTAGATAGTCTCTTAGTCTATATAATTTATCAGTGACCGCCGTGGATAGTAAACTTAGAATTGATAGTAAATAGCAAATACACTTTATTTAAAGTGTATGTATGTTCATAGTACACAGAAAAACAGAAAACAAAAAATAACGGACTTTGGAAAAAAGGGGGAGGGCTAAAAAAATTGTCCTGTCCCCAAGTAAAGATGACTTTTGATACCTTTCCTGAAATTCTCCAGTCATAAATCTTTTACAAAAATTCATCCTACAACAGTTTACATACTTTCAATGACGCTCTATTGCCCGCGATTTCGCGGGTGTGTTCTAGTATTGTTTATATTGGAATGGAAAGTGAAAGGACAGTTATTGAAAACTTCAAAAGAAAAATATACATGCATCAGAGAAAAGTGCTAGCACAGCTGGCAGTTCCGGAAGCTCACCAAAATAAGACAAGGAACTCTCTACTCACAGCAAGATCAGCACAGCCCAGAAGGTCGAATAAAGTGGCAACGTAGGCATTCTTTTGGGTTCTTTATTGTTGTAATTTGACAACAATTACAAATTGTCTTAAAGTTAATAACAATCTGTTGAGTTAAGCCATTTCCAACTGATTTTTAAATCAATTTTATGGTGTTATGTTACACAACTGCCGTAGGTAAGGTGAGTCCTGTGCGCTTACAAACATCTTATGTATGTGTCTGTCCCAATTCAGGAGCCTGTAATTCAGTGGATGTATCTGTATATCAAATTTGTTTTTGGCTTATTGTTTTGTTAAAATCAGGCCGTTGTTTTTTTTTTCGATTTGTTTCACATTTTGTTATGTCGGGGCTTACTATACGTTATAATTTTCATCATTGACGAAGCCCGCATGGTGACCTTTAATTGCTTACATCAATGTCATTTGGACTAAAAAAATCTTGTGGATATTTGTATATTTGGCAATCACATATATCACATCACCTTATCTATATATCTAGGACAATGTTTATGAATAAAAGAAATGTTCGACAACGAGAAAGGAACACGACGACAAAAAAGCCCCAAAACATCTTGAGGTCAAAGTACATACTTCAACGATAGACTGGTGTTTATTGAATATGTCAAATATATAAATTGTCCTGTCTCTAAATTAGGCAAATAAGTTTCTGATAAATTCAACACAGAATAATATGCTTGTTTGCTTTAAATCTTTTCTCCTCTGTACAGTAGTTTGCTGTAAATTGAAAGATATTTCGGAATACTTGATATTTATACTGAGGAAGCAAAATCAACAAAAAAAGAAACCGACTGACTCCGAAACAGTGGTTACATTGTCTCTACTACCCGACGCTGACTTTAGCGAAGCGACGTCGCCACTGTTTCGGAGTTTAAACGGTCCAAGTTGAATCTTCACAAGAGTGGTTACCAGGATTCTGATTTGATAAATATCAATTGAATACTAGATTAATAATATTGATTTCTATCTTATTATATAGTTTAATATTACATGTTCACATAATTTTAAATAAATATAAGCAAACCAAACTTATTTACATAAATTACACATATAAATGATACGGATAAAGGCCTCTTCAAAGATGGCA